ATCATCTCTCAACTCTGCCGTTACCAGTCAATCATCTCTCAGCTGTAGAGAATCATCTCTCAGCTGTAGGGAATCATCTCTCAGCTGGAGGGAATCATCTCTCAGCTCTATGCAATCATCTCTCAGCTCTATTCAATCATCTCTCAGCTCTAGGGAATTATCTCTCAGCTCTAGGGAATTGTCTCTCAGCTCTATGCAATCACCTCTCAGCTGGAGGTAATCATCTCTCAGTTCTAGGGAATCATCTCTCAGCTCTATGCAATCATCTCTCAGCTCTAGGGAATCATCTCTCAGCTCTATGCAATTTATCTCTCAACTCTAGGCAATTATCTCTCAGCTCTAGGCAATCATCTCTCAGCTCTAGGCAATCATCTCTCAGCTCTAGGTAATCATCTCTCAGCTCTATGCAATTTATCTCTTGGCTCTAGGGAATCACCTCTCAGCTCTAGGGAATCATCTCTCAGCTCTATGCAATTATCTCTCAGCTCTAGAGAATCATCTCTCAGCTCTCGGGAACCATCTCTCAGCTCTAGGGAATCATCTCTCAACTCTAGCTTGGAACGTTACCCCGAGCAAGACTTTTGAGAGACACCAGGCCACGGCGGCACCAGGCCACAGAGGCACCCAGGCCACAGCTCCTGGGCCACAGCTCCACCCAGGCCTGTGCACCCAGACCTGGGGCACAGGCCACCCAGAGGCACCAGGCCACAGCTCCACCCAGCCCACACACACAGGCACGAGGGCCACGGCGGCACCCCGGGCCACCAGGGCACCCAGGCCGCTGCACCGGGCCACAGCTCCACCAGGCCTGGCAGGTACTCGGGCACCAGGCCACAGCTCACTGAGCCACAGCACCCAGGTGCAGGCACAGGCCACAGGGCGCAGGCCACAGCTCCACCCAGGCCACAGCAGCACCCGGGCCACGGCGCAGTACCATCCTGAGCCACAGCTCCACCATTTGTGGCACCAGGCCAGCAGCAGGCCACAGGTCACCAGGCCACAATCCACCAGGCCACAGCATACCAGACCTAGAGGCACCAGCACCAGACCCACAAAGGCGCAGGCCACAGCTCCACCAGGCACAGGCTGGGCCTGAGCCACAGCGGCACCAGGCCACAGCACCAGGCCACAGCTCCACCAGGCCACAGCACCAGGCCACAGCCGCACCAGGCCACAGCGGCACCAGGCCATGGCCCCCTCTTCAAGACGCTGGCCCGCCCTTGTCCGATTTAGTGAAGAAGGAACTCACCCGAGGCGGATAATATTTTCCATGTGGCCACTTGAGGACCACATACGATCCTCAAGGACTCTCAGCGAGGCGAAAGGAATCCACCGATTCATAGGGCAGGAGTTTGTTGAGTCAATATAGATCAGAAGGATATCAGAAAACTCCTGCAGGATGCCAGTGTAATGGTGTGTGTGTGTGTGTGTGTGTGTGTGTGTGTGTGTGTGTGTGTGTGTGTGTGTGCAGGGACTACAGTTCCTTGTCTTCAGTCATAATAAATGCCCACCGCCATTAGGATCCATTTGCCAATGCATATCCTGTATACTCGGCCTACTGACACACACACACACACACACACACACACACACACACACACACACAAACAGACAGACACACACACACACACACACACACACACACACACACACACACACACACACACACACACAAAATAATAATATGTACTCAGTCTCCTGTTTTATGCATCTTCTAATGAGGGATCACCCATGTCCCTCCACCCCTTCTTCCCCCTCCTCCTCCTCCTTCCCTCCTCCTAGTCCTCTTCTTCCTCCTCCTCCTCCTTTCCCTCCTCCTGGTCCTCTTCTCCCTCCTCCTCCTCACCTCCTCTAGTACCGATCCGCCTCGCCGTGTTGCGGGGTCCTGAGTGGACTAGGCAGCCAAACCTCTGATATATTGCTACCATTACCCTCTGTTCTAGAGAGCTTCTGTAGCCTTGTGGCAGCGACAATGTGGCATGTGTGTGTGTGTGCGCGTGTGTGTGCGTGTGTGTGTGCGTGTGTGTGTGTGTGTGTGCATGTGCGTGTGTATGTGTGTGGCCATCTGTGTGTGTGTGTGTGCGTGTGTGCGTGTGTGTGTGCGTGTGTGTGTGTGTGTGTGCGTGTGTGTGTGTGTGTGCGTGTGTGTGCGTGTGTGTGTGTGTGTGTGTGTGTGCGTGTGTGTGTGTGTAAATAAAAAAACACACACACACACCCCCCACACACACACGCGACACACTTCACTAATATAAACACCACCTCACGTCTTGCACTCGAGGCATCATTCTATTCACCACGAGACAGACGGAGGGTCACTTGTGTGTTGCCCTCTCTGAGTAGTTAAGTCCCTCCTCTTCAGTCACTCATTATTAGTTTTCTTTGACTCTTACGATTTTTTTGTGTGTGTGTGTGTTCTTTCTCTTATTTACTTATCTTCTTTTTTGTCTTTTCTCTCTCTCTCTCTATTTATCTCTCTCTCTCTCTCCACTTCGCCAGACGTACGCCGCTGACATCTTCTTTGCCCAGAGCTGGAAAGACTGGCGCCTCCGTCTACCTGATAACATGACTCATGAATACCGTCTACTACCTGTCGCCTGGCTCAAGGTATGTTACTCTACCTGTCGCCTGGCTCAAGGTATGTTACTCTACCTTTCTGTCAACTGTCGTAGGGTTTAATTATTTTTCCTGTCAATCATTAACTGTCAACAGGTATATTATTTTACCTGTCTACTGTTAACTGTCAACAGGTATATTATTTTACCTGTCAATTGTTAACTGTCAACAGGTATATTATTTTACCTGTCAATTGTTAACTGTCACCAGGTATATTATTTACCTGTCAATTGTTAACTGTCACCAAGTATATTATTTACCTGTCAATTGTTAACTGTCACCAGGTATATTATTTTACCTGTCAATCGTTAACTGTCAACAGGTATATAATTTACCGTCAATTGTTAACTGTCACCAAGTATATTATTTACCTGTCAATTGTTAACTGTCACCAGGTATATTATTTTACCTGTCAATCGTTAACTGTCAACAGGTATATAATTTTACCTGTCAATTGTTAACTGTCACCAGGTATATTATTTTACCTGTCAATTGTTAACTGTCACCAGGTATATTATTTACCTGTCTACTGTTAACTGTCACCAGGTATATTATTTTACCTGTCAATTGTTAACTGTCACCAGGTATATTATTTACCTGTCAATTATTAATATTACATCATCTTACCTGTTACGTTACGAAGAGAGAGGGTTTATTAGACAGAAAAAAAGAACAAGAGACAGAGAGAGAGAGAGAGGAAGAAAGAGAGACAGAAAGCAATCAGGAATAAAAACAGTATTGACAGGAAGAACAGATTGCTAATGCAAAGAAAAATAATAGTATTGCCATTTTGTTGTTTTCGTGTCAATAAATAATGTAAATAAGAGTTCCAATATATCACGTCTCTAATGATGGGAATAATTAAGGTAATTATACGAGTATTATGTCATTAATTAAGGTAATCATACGAGTATTATGTCATTAATTAAGGTAATCATACGAGTATTAGGTCATTAGTTTAGTGGGTCCAAAGCGACACAGTATCATCCCGTCTGATAATTGGAAGTGTGTTAAGGTGCTGACTTGAAAGGGAGGGAGCAAGGGAGGGAAGGAGCAAGGAGGGAAGGAGGGAGGAAGAGGGAGAGCAAGGGAGGGAAGGAGCAAGGAGGGAAGGAGGGGGGGAGGAAGGAGGGAAGGAGAGGAGGAGGGAGAGGGAGCCGGCCAAGCTGACCCTAATAAATTAAGTGCCATATTTGTGTATAAATTTATGTTGACAAAACGTTAATGTTGTAATGAATGTTTAGTTTTTCACTGTGTGTGTGTGTGTGTGTGTGTGTGTGTGTGTGTGTGTGTGTGTGTGTGTGTGTGTGATAATGGGTTTATAGTTTGTCTTTTTATAAACTTGTAAAATATAGTTTAACCCCTTGGTACGAGTTTAACTTGAGTACGACGGCTTAACCCTTGAGTACGACGGCTTAACCCTTGAGGTGACGGCAACCCCTTGAGTACGACGGCAACCCCTGAGTACGACGGTTTAACCCTTGAGTACGACGGCTTAACCCCTTGAGTGCGACGGCTTAACCCTTGAGTACGACGGCTTAACCCTTGAGTACGACGGTTTAACCCTTTGATACGACGGCAACCCCTGAGTACGACGGCTAACCCTTGAGTACGACGACGGCTTAACCCCTTGAGTACGACGGTTAACCCTTGAGTACGACTGTTAACCCCTGAGTACTACGGCTTAACCCTTGAGTACGACGGCAACCCCTTGAGTACGACGGCTTAACCCTTGAGTACGATGACTTAACCCCTGAGGTACATGGCTAACCCTTGAGTACTACGGCTTAACCTTGATTACGATGACTTAACCCCATGAGTACTACGGCTTAACCCTTGGAGTACTTCGGCTTAACCCTTGAGGTACGATGACTAATCCCTGAGTACGATGACTTAACCCTTGATACGACGGCCTAACCCTTGAGTAGTACGATGACTTAACGCCTTGAGTACGACGGTTTAACCCCTTGAGTACTACGGCTTAACCCCTTGAGTACGACGGCTTAACCCCTTGAGTACGACGGCTTAACCCCTTGAGTACGAATCTCCTCTGACAAATAACATAAGTCGGTTCACAGTAACACATCAAACTAACTCAGTGTTCTAATCTTGCCATTGCGTCCTTAACTGTGCGTCCTTAACTGTGCAATGTGGTCTTATAACTGCGTCCATAACCTGAACTATATCACCGCGTTGTTTTATTATTATTGCTGTTTGTTTTTTTATCTTTCACCAACATTGCTAAAGCTGCCTCCCGAAAGTTGGGAATGCTGTACAGATGCCGCAGCTACTTCACTCCTGAGCAGTTGCTTCAAGTATATAAGGGATTCATTCGTCCTAACTTGGAGTACTGCTCTTATATCTGGGGTGGCTCTTCTTCTGTCCAGCTGTTAGATAGGTTGGAATCAAAGGCATTTCGTCTTATTAACTCTCCTCCTTTAGTTGGTAATCTTTTCCTTCTTCGCCAGTGTTGCTTCACTCTCTTTTTACAGGTACTTTAACGGGCAATGTTCGGTGGATTTGGCATCCTGTGACTGCCGGCAAGACCATGGCCTGTAACACAGTCTTGCCTGCGGTGCCCACCATTTCTCTGTGGATATCGGTCACACGAGAATAACCCGTTATAGTACCTCCTTCTTTCCTCACACAGCCAAACTGTGGAATGCTCTGCCTTCTTCTGTGTTTCCATGCTCATACAATCTGTCTCACTTTAAAAAGCTGGTTTCCGGCATCTTCTTGGTGTAGATTAATATAGTCTTTTTCTCTTCAAATTTATATTTTTTTACTATTAGTTTTTCGCCCCTCAAGCCCCGGTGTGGGTCGATGACCTGTGGCCGGGTGGGCTGTTACCGTAAAAAAGGACATTCGCGGCCGGATTATCATAGTCTTTCTTCTTAAATGTTATAAGACATCTAGCAGCCGGATACCTTCTCCGATCAAATGTCCATCACCGCTTCCATTGTCTTCACATTGTGTTCTCCCGTTACAGGACATCTGGCGGCCGGATTCCTTCTTCAAAAACGCCAAAGCCGTCACCTTCCAGGAGATGACGATCCCTAACCACTACATCTGGCTCTATCAGGACAACACCATCCTCTACATGGTCAAGTAAGTTACTCCTACACCGGGGTCCTGACCTGACCCCGTGTTGTGTTCCTGACCCCGTGTTGTGTTCGACTCTACGTGACTGACCCGCCACCTGGACTAGTACTCTCTCCTCTCTCACCGTCTCACCATCCTCACCGTCCTCTCACCATCCCTTCCACCGTCCCTCTCACCATCCCTCCCACCATCCCTCTCACCGTCCCTTCCACCGTCCCTCTCACCATCCTTCTCAATAAGGTAGGGATGGAGAACGGGAGAGAGAGGAGGTAGGAAGGAATGGAAGTAGGAAGGGAAAGGGAGGGAAGGAGAGAAGGAGGGAAGGTAGAGAGGGAAGGAAGAAAGGAATGGAAGAGGGAGGGAGGGGAAGAGGGAGGGAGGGAGAGGTGGATGACCCTGTACAATAAATGCCTTCATACAGTTCACTTCAGCGATGGTCTGTGTCAATACTGTTTAATCTCCCCTCCCTCCTGATACTCTCCCTCCCCCTCCCCTCACCCCTCACCTTCCCTCACCCTCACATCTCCTCCCTCACCCCTCCTTTCTTTTACCTTCCCTTCTTTCATCCCCTCCATCCCTCTCCCCCTTGTGGATCACTGAGGGCAAATAACAGACCACTGTGTATAGAGGAGGAGGAGGGAGGAAGAGGAGGAGGAGGAGGAGGAGGAGGAGGAGGAGGAGGAAGAGGAAGAGGAAGGGTCGTCATTCTCAGTAGCGGCTCAGTGACTTCACAATCTAGTGTGTTCTTCTAAGAGAGAGAGAGAGAGAGACGTCACTATCTCCCGTTTGCTGTCTCTCTTCTACCACACTGGTTTTGAACTACTGTCTCTCTCTCTCTCTCCACAAAGTAAACAAAATACCTAATACAACAAATGACTTTTCTTTACACAATATTATTCTGTAATTGACTCTGGTATTCAACTGTGTGTGTGTGTGTGTGTGTGTGTGTGTGTGTGTGTGTGTGTGTGTGTGTGTGTGTGTGTGTGTTTTGAGGAAGGGCTTGGAGAAATAATGTTTATATTACTACTACTACTACTACTACTACTACTACTACTACTACTACTACTACTACTACTACTACTACTACCACCACCCTGGCACCACTGTAAGGCACAAGGGATTAACTTACTACTCTGGCAACACTGCAGATTAAAAGGGGTCACTAATCCGGTAATATTCTCTATGAAAAGGGGTCGCCTCACCAATCTGGCTATACTTCAGGACACAAGGGGGTCGCCTCATGAGTCTGGCAACACTACAGAACACAGAGGGTCAACTCACAACTCTGGCAACACTGCAGAACACAAGGGGTCGCCTCACCAGTCTGGTATCACCGCCCAGGCCCGTCATAACACCGACACTTTTCACCAGTCTTATCTTTAGCGAGAGACGTGATGTTTCAGGAGCGTTTTAACGAGAAGAAAAATTCGCTATCTCACCCTGGCTGTGTGGCCGGTTGACGCACTTTTTGGGCCTCGCTAAACTAATCCCGACACCAAAACACCTTATTTTTCGTACCAAATTAGCGACCTAACCTAACCTACCCTACCCTAACCTAACCTAACCTAACCTACCCTAACCTAACCTAACCTAACCTAACCTAACCTAACCCTAACCTAATCTAACCTTGTGTGTTATTAAGATATAGTAATATGTCTTCGTCCTGGGGAATGACAGACAGACAGACAGAGAGACAGAGAGAGAGAGAGAGAGAGAGAGGGGGGGGGGTGGGGAAGACAGAAAGCTTTGAGATAGAAAAGTAAAAATAAAGAAATGAGATAACAGAATAAAGAGAGAGAGAGAAAGATAACTCTATAACCATTAATATAATAATTCCTCTTTGTTGATAACGTAATTAATTAATTTACTTAATAATTGACCTAATAATTAAATTAGATAAAATACTCACTAATTACCAGATAATTGACTTAACAAATAGACTCGATAATTGGTTAATAATTAATTGACCACTAATTGCAACAGTGATGACCAAACACTTGTCCTGTACACGTATCGACTGCCAACCGACCTTGAGGCACTCTTGTGATAGGTCAATACTGGCACTATATTTAGCCAGTGCCATCGAGTAGGAAGGTCAACTATAGGTCAATATTGGCACTACAGATATAGAATGCCAGACAGTATTGACACTATCTTAGCTGTTGTTAACGTACAAATACTCTTGTGTGTGTGTGTGTGTGTGTGTGTGTGTGTGTATGCTGTCTCGTTACGGCACTGTGGATAGAGAGAGAGAGGGGAGAGAGAGAGAGGGGGATACCTATCCTGGTAAAATCAACATAATAATAAACGAACATCTCCTTAAGAACAACAATAATTTATACCAAGTGTTTTTTTTCACTAAATTTCGTGAGACAATTTCTTCTTCATCCATTAAGCGAAGAGGTGAGATTAGCGAGATCGTTTCATATCTCGGTAAGATCAACGAGACACTCTTGTTTATCTCGTAGCTAAGGGGGACGAACGTATTTATACTCTGATAATTTAAGAATAATAATGATCTGTGATAATTTCCGTTCCTGGGGACATAAAAAAATTATGTGAAATTCTCAGGTTAAAACAAATTATCATAAAAAAAAAAAATTTTATAATATTACAAAATTTAGCCACATCCTGTATTTATGTAACTATGTATATCAACTTAAATACATAATAAAATACATAAGTTACATTACAGAATATCAACACTGAAATGACTGTATGTCTGTGTGTCTTATAAGTTTGGGTACCTCTTCACAGTTGGGTCGACTTGGGGTATAAGTTTTGTCCGGCCAGGTGTAGGTGGGTGCAGGTGGGGTATGGCGGTACAGGTGTTGGGGGAGAGGGGAAGGGAAGGGTAGAGGGGGGAAGGGGGAAGGGAAGGGAGGAGTATATCTGTAAACATGTCAAGGGAGAGTCACTAACACCTCCCTCCCTCTCCCTTCCATCACTCCCTCCCTCCTCTCTCCCCTGGTTCCCTCCTCTCTCTTGCTTCCTCCCTCTCTCCCTCCCTCCCTCCTTTCCTCTCTCTTCCTTCCTTTTCCATATCCCTTCCATTATTCCTTACTATCCCATCCTCTCTCTCTCTCTCTCTCTCTTCCTCCTCCTCTCTTTCCTTCCTCTTTCCACTGTTCTCCTTCTCATCTTTCCTTCTCCTTCCCCTCACAGTCTCTCCTCCTTTCTCCCTTCTTCCCCCCCTCCTCCCTCCTTTCCTCCTTCTTCACCCTTCCCTCCTCCTTTCCTCCCTTCTTCCTCCCTTCCTCCTCCTCTTTTCTTCTCCCTTCTTCCTCCCTCCCTCCCTCCTTTCCTCCCTTCTTCCTCCCTCCTCCTCCTTTCCTCCCTTCTTCACTCCCTCCTCCTCCTTTCTCCTCCCTTTCTTCATCCTCTCCCTCCTTTCCTCCCTTCACTTCCCTCCCTCTCCCTCTCCTCCCTACCTCTCCCTCTCCCTCTCTCTCCCTTCCACCTCAATGTCGGAGAATGAACCATAATTCACCAATAATAGACAACACCAGAGTGAGTTCCTGTCGCTTCCTCCACCACACACCTCCACCATCACCAACACCCATCACCACCTATACACCCACCACCACTACCACACACCTCCACCATCACCACCACACACCTCCACCATCACTCAACACCCACCACCACCACCACCATGCACCACTACCATACATTCCACCATCACCACCACACACCTCCACCATCACCAACACCCATCACCACCATGCACCACCACCACCATACACCTCCACCACCACCACCACCCCACACCTCAAAACGTTACCTGCGGCCGTTTTATAAATTTAATACGTAATTGGGTGAAATACATACATCATATACATACACATACACACATACACATAACAATACAACCATCCCATATTATCAACATGACAAACCTAACTTTATATTATCCAAATTACAAAGAAAAACAGCCTAACAATCATCACTTATCCTAAACTACTCATAAAAAATAAACGATACATAATGAATAATAACGAGAGAATTGAGAAGAAAAACACCTGTTAAATATACATAGAGAGGGAAGGAAGGGCACAGAACGAACCATAATGAGATTTTCAACACCGGGATTCTGTATCGACCTGAAATTTGTAAAACCAAACGTGTCATTAATTTCTTCCCCCCATCCTCTCTCTCTCTCTCTCTCACCGCCGTAGTTGTATCCATTAAATTTTACCCTCTTCCCTACACCACTTTTCTACGTTAAATTTCTACCCCCTACAATTAATATTTATACCCTAATCTATTAAATTTCTACCCCTAAGCCATTAAATTTCTACCCCTAAGCCATTAAATTTCTACCCCTAAGCCATTAAATTTCTACCCCTAAGCCATTAAATTTCACCCCCCAAAAAAAAAAACTACTCCAGAACATAATTTTTCTAGCTCATGAACCATTAACTCAACACCCCATTATATTTATTCTCCTCCCTCCACCACCACACTCACCCATTAATAATACATCAATCCCATTAAATCTCCCACGCTCAACTTCCTCTGTTATGACGTTATTATCGGGTAAATGGTTCGACTTGAGAGTTGGGAAGTATCGAACAGCCTTGAACTCGAGACTGGTCTTCACTGGTCAGTTATTCTTGGCTTCGATGAGCCTCGCCCACCCGCCCACCTGCCCTCATGTGTGAATGGTGGAGACGCCCTCTGTTGGTGAACTGCCACCACCACCACCACTAATCCATCCAGGAAATCCAGCCTTGGGAAAAATATTAATGACACTGTGCAGTAGGCTAGTTAGTCAGCCTAACTCTAACCACCTAACCTAATCTAACTAACCAACCTGACCTAAAGCCTGAGCTCCATACCCCGTTAGTGTTCTTACGTATACTGTACAAACCTCGTTGTTTACGGTCTGGTGCCACGTCTAACTAAGGCCTGGTACGTCTAACTACGGCCTGGTGCCATATCTAACTACGGCCTGGTGCCATATCTAACTACGGCCTGTGCCATATCTAACTACGGCCTGGTGC